CCTGCCGGCCTTCACCTTGTTGCTGCCGGCCATCAATGAGCCACTGCTGACCACCACTGATGACCGGCAGCACCCCTGTCTCAGCAAGTTTCACTCCCCTCCATATACGTGTATGGAGGGATGAAGCTCTTGCCAAGCTTCTTGAAGAAGCTTTGTATTGTTTTCCCTCTACATAAGGAGAGGCCCTCTCTCCTTAGCAGAGGTTCAGCCATTTTAGAAGAGATATAGCTCTCTCTCTATATATATATATATTTCTTACTCTCTCTCTATATTGTTGTGGTTTAGTCCATTTTTCTTGCACTTTTACACTACAACACATAGAGATACACCACCACCATTGGACTGAGGTTCTTGGGAAGGTTACTTGAGCTCTGAAAGTGAGTTTTTGGCCTTTGAGGTTGCTGGTTTCGAAGTTGGTCTTCAAGGGTGAGTACTTTTCCCTTTTTTTAGCACTTTTTTATATCTCATTTTGGCCCTCCTTGCATATTGTTTTAGGCCTTGATTTCAACTGAAAAAAGTCTTGTATTTAAGTGCTTTTGAAGTTTGTTTGAGGTCTTTTTGGTGTTAGGGGTGTACAACCCTCTTATTTTCTTTGTTTGGCCTTGTTTTGGGCCATGCCTTAGGACCTTCGAGGTATTCTTGGTTTGGCCATTTAGCCACTGAAATCCAGTGGATTTTCAGTGGTAGGCATGTGGTTTTGAGGTCTCAAATCATAGGGGGTGACCCCCTCTCTTTTGGTTTTTGTTTGCTTGCATTTTTGGCCTTCCAAAGGAGCATGCCTCTCTGTATTTTTGAGGCTTGGTTCAGGCCCTTTTTTGTGACTTTTAGGACCTTTCTTGGCTCTGTCCATGGCTGGTTTGGTCACCTTTTGCATGCATCTTGTATGTGTACTGTAATCTCATTTGTAGCTCATCAAAGTAGCATGTTTGCCTGGCTTTTGTTGAGTCCATTTCAATAGGTTTTTGGTGATGTTTTACCATGTCTTCGATCTTTTTTGGGTTGGTTTTGTCACTCCATGCATGTATAATACACTTGTAGTGTAAAACTCATAAACTAGCTTTGTATGCTTCTTGCTTTAGCATGTTATCCTAGCTTATGTTGAGTCCATTTTAGCATGTTTTTGGTGATGTTTTTCCATGTCATGACTCTGTCCATAGCTGGTTTGGTCATCCTTTGCATGCTCCATATACTTGTAGAACAAATCTTGCTTACTAGCTTTATGTGCATGATGTTTTGACTCATCATTCTAGCATGTTTTGGCTTTGCTCCAGCATGATTTTATTCTTATTTTGGGCTGTTCTAGGACTATTTTGGGCTGCCATGGCCATATCACTTATGTTTTGTATAGCTATAGTGTAAATGCTCAGGCTAGCCTTAGGTTTGGAGGCCCTTACCATGCCATACATGTGATGTTTGCATGCTTTTTCATCATTCTAAATATTATTTCAGTCCATGAAATGTGGTCATACACTTGCATTTGACATGCTTTTAATGCCTTGGAGCCTTGGCTCTTTATGCCTCATGAATGGATCATTGTGCATGCCATTAAGCCTAGGCCTTTGGGTCATCATATCAGTGCATTTTTGGTCTTGTTATACCATGATGTAACTCTGTTTTATGCTGTCCAAGTCATGCCATGTTTGGTTTCAATAGGTGTAGTGCATTGCCTCTTTTGTAGCCTTGCATGCTCCATATTTTTGGCCTTGTGTTCTAGCTTGTGTTGGCTATCTTCGAGCTTGTTTTTGGCCTTGTTTGGACTTGCCTTGGGACTGTTTTAGGTTCCCTTAGCCCTTTGGGGCTTTCTTTGTATGGCCATGGCTTAAGTCCCTTTGCTAGTTCTTAGCTTTTGAGCTTCATGCATGCCATGCTTGTGTTATGTGTGTGATTTGGCATCATTCCTAACGTCATTTCAGAGCATGTAGTATTGTCATACTTGCATGCTTTTCACTCCTTAAGTGTGCTTAAGAGTTGCATCTTTATGCCTTAATTCTTGGGCCCATTGGCATGCATGCTTGTATAGCATTTTGTATCATCAATTCAGCACCTTTTGGCCACTGATTTGGGCATGGCTGAGGTCTGCCCACATTGGTTTAAGTCCATCTTTTGCATGTTGTTGCATGCTTGTTATATCACATGTTGTTGCATGCCATTAGCCTTGTTAGGTTGTTCATATTGCATTGCATGTTTGCTTGTTTGAGTCGCATGTTTGTCATGCTTGTGTTGCAATGTTGTTTGGATTAAATGTTAATCCGAGCACGAGGAACGAGGGGCGTTTCATACTTCAAGTGATGAAACGTGTCTCAATTCTCGGTCGCTGACGCTCTTGATGATCCATGACAGAGTTTTAGGCTTTATGTGTTTATTTGTGCATTCATTTCATATTGATCTGCACAAGTTGGATCTTTGGCCATCATGCATCGAGATGCGTGATTGATGGTCATGGATCTGATTATGCTGCTCCCTTGATGTTTCAAGATGATATGGAGGTGGCATAGTGTGTACATACCCTTGGGAGACCCTCCATTTCCTCTATTTTGTGCTTTGTTGCAGCTTGGTGTCACAGCACACCAGTGGCCGGCACCCTCTCATTGTTGGCCGATAAACCCTCATCATTGGCCGGCAGTGTGCATTGTTGGTCGGCAGTATGGTCGACAGAGGCTCCTCATGGCCGGCAGGCCACTGGTGCATTCCCCAACAGTGTTTTGGTAAGTTTCAGCAACAAGCACTGGAAGACACCTTGCCAGCGAAGCCTCAAAAGAGCAACCGGAAGGCGTTTCGAGGCGAGAAACCGAATGCGAGCATGCATACTCTCCTTCTTTAAACAGAGCCAAAGCAGCATTGTTTGTTGCTTTTCATTTGTAGTTAATTAATTAATTTGTTAATTAGTTAAAGTTTTGTAATAATTAGTTGTAGCTAGTTATTCATTCGATTATGTAATAATTAATTAACTTGTTAGTTAGTTAATTAGTTGGCATGTATTATTTATTCGGACCCTCCGTCGAGAGGGCATATTTTGTAATAAGTGTATGTGCGTGTGTGCATGTCTTCCAACCCCACGTCTTTCTCCCTTTTACTTACCTGCTTTTGATGATTAGTTCTAGGTCATTTTCAATTAGCATACTTATGCTCGCATGTTTGCATCATTCATCTACATTGTATACACCGAGCTCGGCGCATCATACTAACTGCATCGTATTTCAATTCCAAGTTGAGTACATGTATTAATTATCGCATCTCATATGTCATCTTAGAATAGCCGAGCCTATTTCTAATTGTATTTTGCATGTGTTGCATTAGTCATCTTAACATGAACTAGGATCATGAATTGATTTCTAACTAGTTCTTTGTTTTGGCTCGGAGTACTCGGTGAGTGTTTTATGCTTTAGCATATTACATGTGTGTTATTGATTGCCATGAGGCTAATTGCTTATGTGATATAAACTGCCTGAATGCCTGTGGGTGAAGGTTGGATTGCTTGAATTGGAACAATTCATTGAAATCCGCATTTTAGCCTACTTGCGAGTAGCAAACTTCAAACCATTTTCCAAACAAAATGGATATGCGATGCTTTGTTCCAAATTAGGCGATCAAGTCTATACTTGTTTGCTGTGCGTATCACATAGTAATTCTAGCTAATTACCCGGAAAAAGAACACATGTGTTTTCAAAAACAATATATCATGTTTAGTAGTGGCCGATCTTTGATTGGACGAGCGGGGGTGCTCATAGCTGACCTTCCCCAATCGTACCCAAGTTCCCGAGCCGAGGCAACTTTGGTGATGACGGACACGTGGCCTTAGGCAACGAGTCAGGGTTTCCTAAATTTCTCCAAAATAAAATATTTAGGTGGCAACTCTGCATCTGGCAAAGCAGTCCATGTTTGGCACTTCTTTCTTAAAAATTAGTTTTCCAAAACAATTTGCCGGATTTGGACTCTTTGGTGATTTATCGATCTTGCATTGCACTTTGCGAGACTAGATTCAGAAGCATGACAATTTGAGTCCGAACTGTAGCATGAAGGCCCTCGAGACGCGTCTACAGAGAGGAATAAAGAATGAAGAATTTGGACCAAAAACTCATTTTATAGTGCCTAATTTCGACCATACCACTCGAGCGGTGAAAAGAAGCTCCCAGAATCTCTGAAATTCACACAAACCGCTTAAGCGGTCAAAAGTTCGCTCGAGCGGACTTGCTTCAATCACAGATACTCAGATTTCAAATAGGCATAACTCTCTCGTCCGGACTCCATTTTAGGTCGTTCTTGTGTCCAAATCGAAGCCCTAGAAATAATATTTCCAATGGTTCTAGCTTCACATTCAAATTAAAAGTGTGGAAAGAGAAAAAGGAAAAAGAATGAAGACTACTCATGAGATAATTATTCGAATCAATGTTTTTGGTTCAATCTTACTTTACCATTATGATACCACCTCAATCAATATTCCAAAATGAACCAAAGAGGCTCCAAGTACAACAATAAAAGTTTCAAAAGCAATTCCAAGAGTTCAAGAAGTACAAAGTGTTACAAGTTCCAAATACAACAATAATGAAAAGTAGAGTAAAACATTCATTCGTCAATCACAGAAGTCAAATAAAGAGCAAAGATAGAAGAACATTCAATTGAACTCAAAAGTTTTACAACTATTCCAATCAAAACATTACAAGTGTAACCATCAAAGATTACAAAAATCGGTTACTTTTCTAGGGTTTCATCAAAACCCTAAGTGAGATGCTCAACCACTTATGAAGGTGGGAGAAAATGAGATGAAAGACATGGAGATGGTGGCCTCCATTGATGATCAAGCTCCAAGTACAAGTCCTCTCTCCCAAACCCTTGTAGCCTCCTTGTTTTAACTCCCAAAAATCAGAACCCTTGGAGAACCTTTTTTTTTCTTCCTTTTATTCTTAGAAATTGAGTTGTGTAACGCCCCCAAATTTATGAACTTTTATATAATCAAATTTATTAAATATTCATCGATTACTATCAAATAAATCCATTTCTCATAAGAAAATGCTTTAAGGAAAATATTGTCTTTTCCTTATTTTAAGCTTGTTCTCATTGAACTATATTAAACTATTACATCTTGTGCTCAAATACAAATTATAGTTCACAAATTAGAAAAATCAAAAGTAAAGATGCTCTAATGGCGTACAAGTTTCAAGGGCAACCCCTTGATTACACAAGAAAGGTGGACATTTAATCCAAAAATATATTAGCTCTTGAGCTTTAACAAATAATATCCAATGAGCCCACATGCTCCATTCAAAAAAATCTTCACCGCCTTGTCACTTGGACGGAGTCACACCATTTAGTCCTGAAAGTTTTGTTAGATTTACAGTGAGCTAATGCCCAGTAGGAATACTATTAATAGAGTATATGAATGATTGAAATGCATATGATCATGCTATGCATGTGCCAAAATAAAATCCATGCTTTTCTCCTTTTTAAAAAATCAATGATGTTCAAAACAATTTCCATAGAAAACACATCATCAAAAAATGGGGTAGTAAATGCACAATGATGTTCCAAGAAAGAACCGCAAAACTATATATATATATATAGATTTTTATACTGAAATTATCTCTACATTTATCGGCTATTAATACGACAGGGCAATGGGCACCCAAAATCAATAATTTTTTCACTTTTACCGATTATTAATACTACATGACCAGTGGACACCCAAAAATATTTTCTCACATTCGTTCGGCGATAAGCTCAAGACAACGCAATTGGGGACCTTGACTCCCCGCACAGGTACCAATACAATACTCATCACATTTCCAAAACCCGACTCAACTACCCAGTCTTATCCACTATTTACCCCCTTTCAACATTTTTCAAAAATCCAAGAGATTGTAATAATCGTGTAACGAAATTCATGAATAATGCAACATCATATATGAATATGTAAATATTTCAATTTACCTATGATTCATTTAATGCTTCAATGAGGAATTAACATAACCAAAAATATCAAAAAGATTTTCAATTTCCACAATCTCAACATTAACCAATTTCCTTTCTTACGATAATAAATTCCAAAGTAACTCAAAATCAATATTCATGCACTTCCTTACTAAACATCAACCAAATTTCATGATTCCAAGTCCAATTGAACAAAACACCATTTTTAGAACAAATTTCAAAACTAGGGTTTGAAAGAATTTAGGGCTCTTCCCTCTCTAGTTTGTTTAGAACAAAACTTCTTATCAAGAATCTTTATCATCCATAATTATTCAAAATATTTCAAAATTTTGGGTAGAACCCTTTTTTATGCATCAAAACTCATTTAATCAACACAGTCATCTCATACATACATATAATTAAGAAAATACCACATATACATCTCAAATCTTAAATATACTAAGTTTAGAGTACCCCTACCTCAAGAATGGAGACAAGAAGATGAATATCCAAAAAGAACTTTGAAGGTAAAACGATTCAATCGGTAGATATGTTGGTCTTCACTTCCTTTTTGGCTTATCTTGCAAAATCTAGAATGGAACTTTGATAAAAGTAGAAGAAATCAAGGTTAGAAGGATAGGGTTTCAGATATGAAGGAGAGGGAGAGAAAAGAGAGAGAGAGAGAAAAAGTGACAAGATTTGGCCAAAAATGGAGATTTTAAAGTGTCAATTTCGAACACATTGCTCGAGCGGTCACCATGTGAGCGGTGCAAGAAATCTCCTAGAATCGCTGTAACTTGAACAGACTGCTCGAGCAGTCAAAAATTCACTTGAGCAGACTTGCATCCAACATAGATACTCAAATTTCAAACAAGCATAACTTCCTCATCTGGACTCTGTTTTAGGTCGTTCTTGAGTCTAAATTGAAGCCTGGAAACAAGATTTTCAATGGCTCTAGCCTCACATCCAAATTCAAAGTGTGAAGAGAGAAAAAAAATAAAAGAGTAAAGATCATTCATAAAACAATTATCCAAATCAATGTTTTTGGTTTAATCTTACTATACCATTATGATACCATCCCAATCAATACTCTAATGCCTATCAAAGAGGCTCTAATTATAGTAATAAGAGAGCCCAAAGCAATCCCACTAGTCCTAAGAGTACAGATGTTACAACTTGAAAATCTTGCACATGCACTAAAGGTTGGCAGTTCATGCGCCCACCTTGGCTGCTCGAGCAGTAGTGGACCGCACGTGTGTTGGTGGCTGGCCATATGTGCAGTGGGCTGGCGGGGCAGTGAACTTTTGTTGCTCAAGTGAAGGATCTTCTTGTGTGCCACTTTTAGCTTGAAATTGCATGTTGCTCACCAAACCTATACATGTACACGAAACGCATCATATCTGCCAAATAATCATATTTCAAGAATATAAATGTAACTTAAGTGGACTAAATGTGCTTGCTTTCGGCCCACATCATTCATAATCTCATATAATTTCTATAATTAATCCCAATAATTTCACTTGTTAACAATTACGATATAAACCAAATTCATGTCAACCGTTATTTCTATCTTTACTCATATAACCTTTCTAAATCACAATAATCAACATGGCTCAATAATTATACAATCATCAATTATTCTCATTTTTCATGGATATCAATCTAAAAATTAGGGCTTTTTACTTTAATCTCCTTAAACATGTTCTGTTAGCATAAAACTTTCATAATCAACAATAAAACATGAGTTTAAACCCTTTAATTTGAAACCCTAACTTTTATCTACATGATTTTCAAAATCTCTTGCCAAAAATCAAAGTTTTTCATGTAATATAAAATACCACATATCTATCTATGAGAGTGTATTGAAGAGAAACAAGAAAATTATTATCACAAAAGCTAAAAAAGAGCAAACCCCTCCTTCCCAAAATTGATGGCGTCGGAATTTGATATCCACCTGGCACTAAGTAGCCATCGACGAGCTCTCCATTTTGGCTTTAAGAACTAATAGCAAAATGTTGGTGGATCTTGTTGGATTGGAAGAAATGCAAGGGTTTGGAGTGTTGGATAGAGAAAGGTGAGAGAAAAATAGTTTAGAAAGAGAAAGAAAAGAAAAAAGTGATGAAGGAAATAAGAGAGAGGAGATCAGATTTGAGAGTTTTGGTCCAAAAATCGAGACAGAAAACATGGAGTCTTGCACATGTGGAGCTACTGGCTGCACGTGCAGATGCCCTTCCCACACCTACAGTGGCCCAACGCCGCACGTGCAGTGCCCTTTATAGGAATTCAACTGCTGTCTCCCATCGTCGCACGTAGTGCTTGCCCCAATCCACACGTGCAGGCCCACCTGCCACATATGCAGGACCCACTTAGTGACCAAAAACTTTTCTAAGGCATTCCACCATCTCCCAATTCCATCCTTACGCCCGTAAATAAAAAATTCTCTCTCAAAAGAACGTCAAGAATATCAAACAAGTTCGAATTGCCAAACACTAATACGTCACACTACGCTCTAGACACCAAAACTAAAACAAATAGTCTGAAAGGCATAACCGAGTTGGGTCCAAGACTTGAGACATCACATCTCCTAATCACCTTCTCACCCCACTCCTAGCCACTTTTAACTTTCCCTTCTCTAATTTTGCTTGCCCCATCATCAAACATTTTCAATAGTGCCTTCATTCCCTAACCAAATTCTACTATCAACATTATAAAATTATTACTTTATAATTGGTCTTATTAAGGAGTTATAATGATTTAAGTGATAGATTTAATGAATAAATTTGCATGTATTAGGTGAATTATTTGTCTACTGCATTTTATATTGTGTGCATAACAATCGCTTAAATTGAAAAAGAAAAATACTGAGAAAGATTTAAATTTTAAGTTTATATATGACTTATCATTGATTGTATAATATTTCACCACTTAAATAAATGAGATTTTTATTTTAAAATTTTGAGAAATATCATTCCAATGGGATGTAGAAATAATAATATTTTTAATTTATGGAAATGTTTATGAGCTTTTCTTTTAGTATTGTAAAGTTTTTCACTAATATAATATCATGCTAACTACATCCTACTAAAAAGATATTTTCCATTTAATCCCATTAAAATGGTTGTCGTGATAATTAATAATTAAAATTCATTTTTGTTATATAAAAATCCACATAATTCTAATACTTTCATAATTTAGAAAAAAATTATATATGAATTCAAAAAAAATCCATATTGGTCTTTGAAAGGAAAGTAATTATATATATATATATATATATTAATGAGAGAAAGGAACCAATGCATTCATGAACATGTATATTTTAATTTAAAATCTTAAAAAATATATTTTTATTCGTTTCACAATTTTATTTTTATTTTTTTGGTAAACTTTTTTTAAAGATCTTATATAATTAAACCATAAATTAATCTAAACACATTTATTACCATAAAATCAAATCATAAAATTAAAAATTAAAAAAAGAAAGGCAACTAATAGTATATATTGCAATGTTCCTCACAAACTACAAAATAGAATAAAAACATAATTAAACAGATCAAAAAATAAAAACAAAACAAAACAAAAAAGATAGGTATTTGTATATACAATTTAAAATGTTATTAAATAAGAAATTAAGTTAAAAAATAAAAATTAATTAGAGTGATTTTATGATAATAAATTAAGGCTATTAGATTAATTTATAATTTATATATGTATATGTGTATGTTTAATTTAAAATACTATTAAATAAGGTAATTTTATGGTAATGAATTAGGGTGTTTAGTTTAATTTATGATTTAATTATATATATGATACTGATGGGCACCCAAGGAGGGCCCGGCTCACGGTTTAGGGTCCAACTCACAACCTAGGTGTCAAAGCCCAATAAGGCCAGCAACTTCAAAAAGCCAATGTTGGCTCAGAACCAATAATAATCAAACACTTGTCAGGTAGGAAACCAACCACGTAAGCAGACAAAAATCCTACAAAGTTATTACACCTACATACCAACCATTTAATGAGGCCCTCATAGCATTAAATGCCACAACCTCTTCACGCCGGAGGAAACAGACTCACCATGAACGAGGTTAGCTAGGCCTTAGACTTTCGGTCGACGAAACAGCTTAGAATGGACAAGGAAATGATGAACGAAGGATATAAGAAAGCTTCCGAGGAACATTAGAGGTTAAGTTTTTCTATCCCTTGTTACTCTCTCTCTCAAATCAATCTATCCTAACCTAACTTGGTCGTCGGAGTGTCCGTCAGGGGAACACTTCCCCCTTTAGACCTTTTTGTAGGTATGTTTCGAGGACTTCAAGGTCAGTAGATTCGCTAGAAGTGTGGATTAGTCTAGCCCATCTCCTACTGAAGTTACTACATCATCAACTAGCGTCGTCTGTGGGAACTCTCTCTGGTAGACAGCTGTGCTCACTGTCATCAGAGGAAGCTCCGCTATCACCCATTTCCTACGTCAGAGTGGATGGTTACGACAAGATCTATGGCTTCAAAATACAATGCTGGTAACCCTGAAGCTGAGTCCTCCAACCCATATAACCCACCTCCGTACTTCGCCGAACTCACTAACAGCATTAACTGGTTAACTGAACAAAACCAAGCCCTGATCAACGCTTTGCTCCAGCGGGATTTACCTGTCCCCCCTCTACCACCATAAGCAGTTCTCCCAAACCCGAAACAATCCCACCATCACCATATGTCCCACGACATATTTCCCCTCTTCGTCACGCAGCCTCAGCCCTCGAATCTTAAGGATCTGCTAGTACCGCTTCCTGGCTAGCAGGTCTGTCAAGAAAGACCACCACTTTTCCATAACCACCCTCCACCACCTCACACTGCTGTCCATCATAAAGGAGAAGCTAGCAGTGTTCAACTCTGGATTTATGATTGTGGAGACAATGCCACCATCTGGGATGCAGAACTGCAGGCCACAAAGCTGCAGCTATAAGGCGTCATATAACATGCAGCACAAACCTTCTTCTATCGTCAACTCTTCTTGTACCACCTTCATCAGAGATAAAGCTATGCCCCCTAAATTCAAAATGTCATTGATTGACACCTTCGATGGTACCACCGATCTTGTCAACCACGTGGAAGCATATCGAACACTCATGATCCTCTATGCCTTTCCGGACGAAATCATGTGCTGCATTTTTCCCGTCACATTGAAAGGGTCGGTGCGACTTTGGTTTAGCTAGCTTCCCCTAAACTCTGTCACTTTCTTTCACTAACTCAGCGAATCCTTCTTGAGTCATTTCATCGGTGCTTAGAGGCAGCGGCATCATGCAACTCAACTGCTCAACATCCGATAGACGGAAGCGAGTCACTGCGCAGCTTTGTCACCCGTTTCAATACCGAGGCCTTGCAAATGGAGGAAAATGGTGACAAAGTCATTCTCACAACCTTCATGGTCGGCTTACGCTTGTCAAATTTTCTCTTCTCCCTTTCCAAAACCCCCAGTCTGCCATGGACACCTTTCTCGCCAAAGCCCACAAATACAGGAACACCGAAGACTCTTTAGTCGTCCGCCAAGACTCCACGACAAAAACCCCACCATCCAAGGACAAAAGAAAAGAACCCGAGCCCAAGTCCACGCATTATACATATCGAGCCCCTCAGTATTCAGACCGACCGGCTCCCACCCGTCCACCCGGTCAATTTGAACGATACATCCCTCTCAATACCCCTATGGAGCAAGTTTTGAACCAAATCCAACGTGACTATAACCTGAAATGGCCCCAACCATTAAGGCCTCCCCTCACTCGGCGAGATCAATCCAAGTATTTCCATTTCCATCAGGACCATGGCCATAACACTGAGGAATGTGTCAACCTTAAGGATTAAGTTAAGGATTTGATTCGCCAATGACGTCTCAGTAGATTCACAACACTTGTCCCCAGCAATGCCCTCGAACCGACCCCCCAAGGCACAACCGCCGCTACACTCCTCCCAATAACTAGCACAACAAAGGCGAAATGACAACTGGCCTCACCAACAACCCCGAGCACAAGATGGTCTTGCCCCTCTATTAGGCAAGATCAGAGTCATTGCCGGAGGGCTTGCGTGCGGTGGACCATCTCGATCAGCACAGTGAACTGCGCTCAGAAAAATCAGACAAGGCTCTAATAAGGAAGTTATGACGGTGGACCGACCCCACAAGCAACCCAAACAATGGTCTGAATCACCTTTACGGAGACAAATTGCACAGGAGTTTGCTACCCTTACGATGACCCCCTATTCATCTCCACTCTCTTATCTAACTACAAAGTCAGGCGAGTTCTTGCCAATAATGGTAGCTCCTTAGACATCATCTTCTTCAACGCCTACCGACAACTCAAGGTTGGAGAAGAAAAGTTGTCACCAGTACAAACCCCTTTGGTCGGTTTCACTGGGGATCGGGTGACCTCTATAGGCTCCATCGGGGAATATCCACGACAGTCCACCAAACTCCTTACTTCCTCGTCGTTAACTGCCCATCCACCTATAATCTTATACTTAGACGTACAACTCTCAACGCCCTCCAAGCCATAACATCCACATACCATTTGGCCATGAAATTTCCTACTGATCAGGGGGTTGGCACAATGAAAGGTGAACAGACAATGGCCAGAGAATGTTATGTTGCCTCACTTAAAGAGGTCCAAATAAAAGAGGCTATGATCATCGAAGGCCCCGATGTCAGGGATGAAGAGGAGCTCGTTAGAGGGGAACCCGTGAAGAAACTAGTCGAAGTCTCCATCAATCCCACCGATTCAACGAAGACGGCTAAGATCGGCAGTCAACTGTTATCCCAAGCCAAAACTGACCTCACGACTTTCTTAGCCGAGCACAATGATGTCTTTTCTTGGACTCATTCAGACATGCCAGGTATCGACCCTTCTTTCATCACTCATCGCCTCAATATCGAACCCTAGTTCTGACCGTTCCGCTAGAAACAGCGCATCTTCCATCCGGAGTGCAACAATCTCATCGCCACTAAGGTGGACAAACTGCTAAAAGCCCAGTTCATCAGAAATGTGAACTATCCCAGATGGTTGTCCAATGTGGTCTTAGTCTGCAAAAACAACAGCAAGTGGCGACCGTGCGTTGACTACTCCGACCTCAGCCATACTTGCCCGAAAGATAGCTACCCACTTCCCAGGATAGACCTATTGGTCGATGCAACTGCAGGATATCAGATGCTTAGCTTCATGCATGCTTTTTCAGGCTATAATCAGATCTTAATGCATACGAAAAATTAGGAGCACACCTCGTTCATTATTGATAGAGGGACTTATCATTACCGTGTGATGTCATTCAGCTTGAAGAATGCGGGAGCCATTGATTAACGCTTGGTCAATGCCATTTTCAAAAACCAGATAGGTCGGAATATAGAGGTCTACGTCAGTGACATGCTCGTCAAAAGAAAACTCTCCTTT